AGCTCTGGGCCAATCTAAGTTAAATTATATTTTCAATTAAAATGTGTGATTTTCTCTGGAATAAGTTAGCCGAACAGATTCGTGGAACAACAGCTTTTAACTTACAGCTAAAATTGTTAAAGTTCTTCAACTGAGGTCATATTATTGCACATTTACCAATTTATTTATACCCGTTAATAAAGGTTGGTTTATATTAAGACTAAGATACATTACAGTCCACATTACTCAGAAATCAGTACCTGAGGAATCTTTAAAACGTTGCACAGGTTGGCGATAGCTATAGTGTTATCTGACTTAGCTGCTCCTAGAAACCCACTAACAGCGACTTATCTGAGAGTAAATGGAGCTGGTCAGTCTCAGTTGCAATTATTTTGCAGCAGACTGGTTGGGATGTGCCAGTCATTGGGTTATTGCCCTATATGGTAAATACGATGTTAGGAGAACATCAACAATCACTTAATCCGACTGCCGACAAATTCAATGAATAATTAACTGTCTCTCAGGGCTAAGGTTTCCCAGTTTCTTAAGACTAGAGTCTAGATATCAATTATTTTTACATTCTGCAGGAAGACTATATAAACCAGGTTATTGAATTTAAGTACTACAGTCTAGACTGTTAAATTAAAGACAAAATATATAACAGCTAAACAAAAATTGAAACTACTAAATCTACAGTAATTCTCCTGACACAAACAAACTCTAAACTGGAAGGAAAACCCTTGTAGTGTCCACACTTACTTGGTGTTTGCAAGCAGGTATCAGGAGTTGCAGCTCCTCCCACTCTGAGTTTCCCCACTTGTTTCATTCCCAGTGTGACAGAACGTCTCTCTAGCAGGTGTTATCCACTTTGTGGTGTTAATGCAGAAGAGGTGGCGTTCAGTACATGGTGGTTAATGTACGACACTGGTGGTACACCACTGGCCTGTAGGAGGAGTTGGGATCATGATCTGAGGTATAGCTAGATCTGAGAATAATAACCGTCTATGTGGGTTAGGAAATGAGGACTTACTAATAAAAAGTTCGACCGTCTGCAAATAGAACTGAGAAACACCTACCTCAGCTAGTTGACTCCAGGAGAATAAAGTTGTCCTCAGAGTGGATATGGAGAGGAATTATAGCTGGAACAGTGAAACACATTCCGGGATCTGTTTCTGGACCAGGGAGGACCCCATCTGTCTAGATTACACGCTGACCGGACTGTATTAAGTAGCAGGACCAGATAACAAACATTCGCATACTACAAGTTTGGAGATGTTTATAAGAAAAAAGCGAAGTTATAGGATACTACAGATTGGAAGATTATCAAGATAAAAGAAATTATAGGATACTACAAGTTTGGGAGATGTTATAAGATATAAAGGTTGTAAGATATAAAGGTAAATAAAATAAACTACAAAAATTTATAAGATATTTAGTATGGGTAAAGTTTAGTGGTGGACCATGACCAGATACCAATTGCGTCAAATATAGAATTATTAGCTTCCGTTTAAGACGTGTTGGAAGTGAATCAAGGGGGAATTCTGGTAAGCTACCATATAATGATGTAAAGCAAACGTCAATTTCGTGAGAGATAGAGAATCAGCCAGCCGCAGCTGTTTAGTAGTTATCAACGCGTCAAAAATTCGACAAAAATTAACACCTATTTTTATAATTTAAATGCAATAAATAACACTGTTCGTCTGAAGAGAACCTTTCAGAAAAGTTCTGGAATAAAAGCAAAGCCTTAACATTAATAAGTCACACGGTTAAAGTTAAATCTGAGGTATTGAGCCAATGTGACCTCTACAGAATTGCCAAGAAATAGACAAGCAAGAAACGGGTGACCATAATAAAGAAGAAGAAGAAAAATTAAATACCACAACGTGCTACACTTTGGACTTAATTAAGTAATTAGCATAAGCCATACAGCTAACTCATCATTTTTATAGTCAATTCAATTTGATTTGAAACCTTGTTCAAATAGTACAGAAGATATAATAATCATAATGATACACGTGTAATCGTAGCAACAGTATTTGGTTATCATGAGAAAGGCCTGTGAAGCAAGGATATAAAACGATTTCATTTACTACTACTATTCGTCTTCAAAAGAAACGTTAACACATCCAAATAAGGTCATCACAAGTGCCCCTCTACTCCATTTAACTCACGCGCTCCGGTCAGTAATAATACCAAGAGAATTAATTGCAAGGCGATTATCACCAGAACCAGACAACACAATCATAATACACTACATGTACATGACATGTATGATAAAGATAATCACACGGCAGTATAGCGTGTCTTGTGTACTCTTGTAACGCGTGGTAGGATATGCTGTCTGGCTGTGGGAATGTATTTCAAGGCAAACCCAGGTTTCTACCTTAAGGATCATTTTGTCTATCATGGTATTTTTAAAAACTCAAGGTCACAATACAGCTACAGAGTTAGAAAGCCTAGTAAATAGCTCAAGTGTAATTACATGAAATCAAGTGACAAACTTTGGAGGCCATTCACAACGTTTATTCATTTTTGCGGCAACAGAACTTTGTTTATCTGAAAATGAACAACACAAACCCAAGATCAAAGCAGCAAATTATCGTATGATATGACCGAGTGTGCAACAAGCGTGAAAGTTCGAGCTCAGTAAAGAAGGATAGATATTACCTACATACTCCAGTAAATCGTTTCACTAATAAGATCACGGTATTATGTCCATTCAGGCAGGGATTTATGGCCTCATCTTTCTGGCAGCAGCATCAGACAAACATGATCGTCACTGTCAATTTGGGTGCTTTGTTTTTTAGTAAAATTGCTGACTGTAATTAGCAAAATCCATTGTTCCAAAAAGTGCAGTAAGTGCCACTAATTTAACATGTAATACTTTTGTTAATTTCCAAAAATATGCCTCGAGTCTCGCAATCGAATGTCTTGTGGAAATGAAACAAATGACAACAAAACGGTTGAGGAATTTGGGAGAGATGCACATCAGTTCAACATCCAATATAAACTAGAAAACTGATCAATGATGGTTACTGGTCGCGCACATATTGTCATACCAGAGTGCGAACTATGGTACCAGGTACTGGGTACTGTAGGTACCGTGTAGTTCCCTTCTGTACATTATAATCTTCTGGAATACGTCTGTTGACAATTAAACTCTTGGGTATATTTATTTTATAAATTATATGAATTGATTCATTTTATGGTATTCGTTAACGTCATAACAGAATAATTCAAAGCTCTATGTATTGAGTTGGTGACGGCACTGAATACTAGTAAATCAGTATACAGCTTTCATTAATTATAGTATAGTTTTCGTTACATTTAAGCTTTTGTCCATGATGACAAACAAGAATTGATGACCATAATATTGGTATAATTATAATAATTATTTTATTGACGACATAACGTATGATGAATATTTAAGCTGAACGCCCGTCCACTATGCAAATACACAATATTATACATTATATACTCTTGTATCCAAGTTCGAATATGAATGACTCTTCGCAGCGACAAACATGTAATCCCCTGCTAAATAAAAAGATAAGTATTGGGGGTAATTGACAAGAAACCTTATTCTTGGCCTTACTTATGATCATATATCAATTTCCTGCTATGTATTGTTTCACTTCAAACAATACACAATCATCAAATAATGTCTCAAGCCGTTCACTTTCGTCCACCTTCCACAAAAGATCAAGTTATACCATATCAGTATACCATCTTCATCTGGCCTGACTACTCAATGAGTTTCTACACTTCCCACCACCAGTTCCACCACACCCCCGACCAGCAATGATGTTGATGTGGGTATTGGGTTGATTCTAATCACGTGCTTCACTCTTGGAACTCTAGGAAACATCCTAGCTCTGGGCTACTTCACCTCTCGGAAGAGAACCACCTCCAACATCCTCTACCTCAGCATTGTCTCAGTTGACCTGGTATCGGTGTTCCTGATGTTCTGGCCGGGTTTGTCCCACTTCCTACACCGGGCCCCTCTAGTCCTCTCCTACCCAGTATATATGTTAACTGTGGGGGGTCTTCTTCTTTATATCTGCTAGACTCAGTGTGTTCCTGTTGGCAGTTTCTCAGTATCAGTCGCACAATCTCCCTTCTCTCCCCCTTCTCTCCAGGCAGGAAACGTTACACCATGACCCCTATCTTACTCTACACCACCCTCCTCCTCCTCATCGCCGCCCTCCCTTACTGCACCATGAACACCTACACCTACTCTAGATCTCGTGATCTGGCATGGACATACCCCCTCACCACTACCTCCTCATCTTCACCTCCGTCTTCATCCTCCTCAACCTCCTCCCCTTCCTCCCCATCATGATGAGTTGTGTGCTGTCAGTCCAGGAGCTCACTAAACCCTCACTCTCAGCAGAGTATGCAGATAGAGGGAGGGGTGAGGAGAGGAGGTTCACCTCAACTACCATAGTCCATCATCCGGCAGGTATCCTGGTACTGAACCTCCCCGTGTGTTTACAGTGTCATGTTATCCGTGGGTTGGTGATCCATCTTCAGTAACTATCTGACTGTGTTTGTGTTTGTGTATAAAGTGGGGTTTTAACGCGGCGTTAACGCCGGTGGTGTATTTGTGTAGATTTAGGGGTTCAGAGGTATTGGATTGTTGAGAAGTGCGGCAGTTTTGCGTAGGAGGAGGCTCTAATAGTCCCGTAAATGGCTGTTTTACTCAATCTAGAAAGTCTTGTGTAATTAGAGAGACTTCATCTTGATGAGGTGACATTAAAACTGTGTTCAGTACAAAAGACGTGGGTTTATCTCTAAAGATACTCTCGTTTCTTAGCATCTGAGTTAGTGGTTTCAGATGTTACTACTGATAAGACAGTCTGACATGCGAGATGGTTGAATCACATCTTATCAATATCACCCTGCTATCTGTGATACTCACGATGACTATAAAAGACATTTCACCAACCCCTGACCCATCAGTTCTCGCTATTTGAACAATCTGTTTCCATCTCACTTTACCGTTAACAACTCCTGAAACCATGTCTCAACTAGACCGCACTGGATACTACTCAGACTCGCCAGTGTCCTTCACCAAAGTGCTAGCTCCCCCCGGCGGTGGTAACAGTGAAGAGAACAACACCTCCCAATCCCTCAGAGTGCTGGCTCCACCTGGCGGCAGAGTTAGTCTAGATCTGTTTGGTGGGTACGGACAGGATGTTGCGAGACCCGCCAGGAAGGTCAGGGAGGTGGTGGTGGTAAAGTCTGAGGACCGTGTAGTGGACACTCCTAAGAGGAAGACGAGGAATATCCTGGTAACTTCACCTCCTGGTGGTGCCAGCTCTATCTCACTCGGAAAAGAGACACACGATGTGTGCTAGGGACCTGACTCTAAAACCCACAAATTCTTAAAATTGTCCAGCGATGTTTTCTTGAACTGTATTTCGGACAATAATTCAGCTCCTGAACTGTTTACTGAGCTTTAAATTGGCTGATAACAGTTTATTTTGTTTTAGATCCAGATAAGATTTATGTTGGGTGCACGAAACTAGCTATATTTTATAGTAGTGAAGTAGTGACTTGTAAAATGTAAACTCTCTCTCTGCGATCAGTGAATTTGAGTTTACTCATACCTTAGTTTTAAACATGTATGATATGAAACACTTATGAATAAACGATCCTAATGTGCTGTTTTTTATTTTTAATTTAAACATTAGTGTATTTTCCAGATATTATTGAGATTCGGTCTCCTCCAGAAGATTTTACTATTTGGACTTTTCACACATTTTCATATGAACTGTTTTTGTTTTCTATTCACACTCCTTTGACTAAACTTAGAAGTACGGCATTCCTTTTATCCAACGTTTCAAGCAAAATTAATGTTAAATATCGAAACATCATCAGTAAAGTTGAGTACATCGAAATCAAATACACCAAAAAGCGAAAACTGAACTGTAAAATACCAAAATGACGTTATTCAATCTATAATTTTTATGAAACTCAGGTAATAGATAAGTTGCAGCTCCGATTTCAAAGTCCGAATAAAGCTGGCAACAATTTGAAAAACTAGGTAACTGATAATCACAGATTTTAATGACTTAAACCGAAGACCGAGAAACACAAAACGAAATAAAAAGCCTCCTCACTGTGCAAATGATTGCCCTTGGCAACAGCTGTGAGTAGAAGTAGGCACGCTAACGACTGTAATCCAGTGAACCGTGCTCTATTAAAGCGTATAATAAAGTCACTACCGGTACAGTTTCGAACAGTTCACCGCTACAATCTCATGTGATTCTGTTCATTTCTGCAGACGTCTTTGAAAAACCGCGCAGATAATTGACTTGACTACCGTGAGGGAGATGACGTAGATTCTAATTAAAAAACTGAAATATCTTCTAAAATAAAAGCTCTCAAAAGAATTCCTCGCATCTCGAATATTTGTAAAATAAAAAACTCGCCGTCTCATCCGGACAAAGGGTCTAGAGTCAATACAAAGGAAACATTGTATACAGTACATGGAAATGGTAACTGAAGAACAATGACAAAGAGTAGCGTCTAGCATTGTTGTTCACAGACTCAAATACAATCAAACAATACCTGGAAAAGTGCCGACTTAATCAAGAATAATATTCACCACCACTAAAACTTATACCAGAACACAGCAGGCAGTGCGCTATACTGGGCACGGAAAGGTTATGTTAAAGGACCATAAATTACTCCGAGAAATATCGTTATATTTAACTAAGTGATATTAGACGTATTTGGGGACCCTTCACCGCCCTCGGGTGCCCTACGAAACATAATACTACTAGGATATGTAGATATTTTTAACGTCGTCACATTATTTCATCGTATTATCACCTGCTCTTAGTTTTCCTCACTCTTCTAGTACGAGTGTAGAAAATAGGCTGCTGTAATTAGAGCTACGTCACTTGAACACTCACAAAAACTCAATTTCATGTCTGGATCCTGATGAACAGCGCAGGCCTTTCCCACGCCTTTTCTGACGGCTCCTCTTTGAGGAACAGAAAAAATTTGTATCTACATACTAACCAACCACCAATGAAAATCATTTAACGTTTCACTTCGATTCACTGGTGTAAATGTAAAACAGTTTTCAGGAGGTTGGAGAGCTCACCATCTCAATCGACAGTTCCACATACAGCGGAAAAGAGTGGTTACCTATACAGCTAACAGCAATGGAATCGTTGATACCAATTCCTGGTGGGAACTAACTCTCAGCTTACTGACTCCTAAGTTGAGAGTTTGGAACACAACGCAACACGAATTATGTCAACGAAAAAGAATGTTTGTTGGTTTTGTTTGTCCTGCTTGTTTGTTTTGTTGTAATCTTGTTTTCACCAGATATTTTAAATTAAGAAACACAATCTAACAACAACTTTTCAAGACACTAATGCAGTAGGTACAGATATTATGTTGACTATAAATTACCCGCCGTGAAAATCCTGCATAATTACAAAGAAACTACAAAGTGAACTATTCAACTCTCATATGTGATGCGTGTAATATGACCGAGTACAAATTCTAAGAAATACAGAATAATGGAAATGAATACCAAATACAGTACAGCTAAACAATCCATTATTCATTAAAACAAGATCAATGATGTGACCACCTAGTTAAGCAGTCTAGAAGATGAATATCATCAGTACCAGATGTGATCCTGGCTATATCCTCACAGACACAGCTACAAGACACCCTCACCAGTCACGCAAAACCCAACACAAAAACCTAATTTTCTTGATTATTATTTTTTTAGTCAACATTCAGCTTGTCTTCGGATACAAATTACTAATTTCAATAATCCAGCCGTGTCAGTTACAACCCAACTCTCACAATTATCCTAATATTATATGTAGTATGACGGGAGAGGAAGTAAGCGTAGCTTGGTGCGGATAGTTTATCTTTCATTGACCACGTGTACGTTTACACGACCAGACAATTTAGATAGTGAAGGTAGAACAAGGTAAAACAAATATTATCATACCAAATAGACGGCTGTGTCAGCCTCTTTTATTTCTGTCAATGGTCAGTCGGGTTCGGAAACTAAGTACAGAAATCTGATAAATTGTTAACGTCACATGGTATTGTAATGGTCTGGGATTCCTAGAATTCCGTAGTACAGTTAATCAAAACTAACAGTTGAGATTTTGAGACAGCACTAAGACCACTACAAGTAGATACTGACCACTACTGACCAATACTGACAAATACTGACAAATACCCACCATTACTGACTACTAGCACTACCGACAACTACTGAAAGATACTAATACTGACAAATTGTGTCACTCTAGGACCCCCTACTTAGACTAGACGACTGATCGATTTTTGTTCATGTGAGAAGTTGGGATACCAGGGTTAATATAATTATCAGTAGCAATACTGAACTTATTGTTGTTGTAGAGCACAGTATTATTATTATTACCAGACAACGAATCAGTCAGCAGCTGTCAGCACTAACTTGGGCTCCTCGCTGACCAGTGTTTTACGTCCGCATGGTGAATTTTACTCTAACCTTTATTCTGGAGTTTATTATAAATTGTTATTCAACCGGACACCGTGTAATGGTTAGCAAATTTACAATGATGTTAAACGAACAAACGCTATCGCTAAACGAAAAGTGGAATTTAAAGTACAAACGAGCAATTTCCGAAAACTTTTAGCAAACGGCGATTCCAAAGTGAAAGAATTCTGAGGTAAAATTGCGACCGTGGAAATGAAGCTGAAACTCAGTGAAATTATAGGAATTGCATCACGGTCCTGGAATCCAGTTATTGAGTTACGTTTTTATTTAAGCCCCCTGGTCGTGCTCTAATGCACTAACTATCTAAGTTGCAACATTGGAATCTCATATTAGACTCCAGATCTTGAGTTGATTTCAGTTCACCAGCCTGGGTTTAAAACCCAACTCCCCGTGAGTCCAAACACACAACAAAAAGAACAAGGGTACGCCTGACAGCTGATTAAGGAATGTTGACGTGATCATTAAGGGTACGCCTGACAGCTGATTAAGGAATGTTGACGTGATCATTAGGGACCACCAGGGACAAGGACTGATCCTACATTAGGGACTAAGACCCCCGGGCACAAAGGTATGGTCACTGGGCTAGAGGAATGAGCTGTTAATATGACCATTAGAAATGATGTGCACAATAAACGGGCTGCTCGAACGTCAATTAAAGTAACAAACGGTGTTAAAGCCTAAAGTTGTTTATAGTTTCTCCGGCGAAATCCAGCTGGACGATATAATAACACGAAAGTGGCGTTGGGACTGCGTAAATCGTAATAAATTGAAACTACATACTACATACTGCAGATCAGTGAAAACGGAGCTAATTTCACTGCGCTAGAATGACGCCGGGTAAAATTAATGACAAAAGCAGGAGGAGCCAGGATCAGAGCTGGCTGGTAGGTAAGGAGCACCTGGCATACTCATGAACACCTGTAGTCAACTCCTTAGTTCCTACTATCTTCCACTCAGCTTCATATCTACAGACACAGGGTTATTGATGAGGGACCAGGGTTTACTGATCACAACTGACTGTCATTTAATTGTTAAATGGGTGTTGCTATTACAAAATACACTTGCACTGTACTTTAATGGAAATTTTGATGAAGGTAAAGATGAATAAAGATATGGAGGTTGTCAATATTGTGCCAATTGGTGCCTATTGGTCGCAGTACTGAGAAAGTGACATGAACTGTAATGCATACTATTCTCTAGCATTCTAACTCTGTGCAGTTCTCGATTGGTTCTAATTAGCGCTCTCTGTTTGACGCCTTGGTATCGGGAGAGAGAGATATATGATATCAGGTACTTTATACTAATTTGCACTGGCCACTTCACAACCTTCCTTAGCTTCTACAACCTTCCTTAGCTTTTCTAGCTTTCTAGATATGACGTATGGCAGGTTGTAAACCAGAATTAAAACTACTAGAAAATGGTAAAACTAAGGGCATTTGCCGCAATTGGGAACACAACAAACTACAAAGAATAGAATGAAAACGACTAAGTTATCGACGTCGGTCTTACTATTAGAATTACATCTACTAAATAATGGAATTAAAAAGCATAATTTTCGATCAATTTGGTTAAGAATGTTGTGCTAACATGTCAGAACAGATCTATAACAAAAAGTACGATTAGCTAAAATTTACTAAATTTACTAGCAATAGCTGTGGACGGAAGAGGTGAGGAAACGTAACTGGCAGAATAGTGTATGCAGCTCGTGTAATTATTCTTTATTAAACGGCAATTTACATGTTATATTACGTTATTGTGCTTAATTGTCGTTTAATTAATAGAGCTGGAATCCGATTTAAGCAGCTTAACTTATAGTAGGTTTTTTTAAGCAGTTAGCTTTACAAAATGTGGTAATTTTCGAGTATAGCGACATTAAACACGGCCAAGTTAGGGAGGGTATGATAGGTGCAGTTTGAACTTTGATCACAGAGACTAGCACGTTACTAAAGCAGCGAGCTGGGGTTTGGGCTGACGCTCAAAAGCCATAAAAGAAGGGTTGAAGTCGCGACAAATTACACGTTGGAGAATAATTGTTGAGTTGGAGTCTAGGCGCTATTCAGCGACTAATTTATGTTAATTTATGACGAGACATTCGAAATATGAAGAACATGTGTGTCGGACTGATTCGTCTGTTAGTTTCATAAAATCTATTGTATTTTCATTTCCAGCTTTCCCCGTACCTGTGTCAATTGGTCACGTATTAAAATGAACTTGATCACGATTTAAATCACTGCATCAAATTCTCACGAATACTGCTGTTATGTCTTTCTCTGAATATTAATTTATTGGATCGTTACATTATGACTGATTCATATAAAAATCAATTTGACTAATGACCAGGCATACATCCCTCCACCGCTCTAGAAGCAATGAAAATTTGATGAAAAAAACGCTCCTTATTCGGCCCTACAACCAACTGACTGAATAAGGAATGATGCACGGCTGGATTGATGTAATAGATACCATTGCGCGTTTCTATCGCACTTTTCTATTAGAAAAAACGCCACACAGGATCAAGTCTTAGTCTCAGCGGTAGCCTTGATATTGTCGCGTATTTTAAGCCATTGCTCTACATTGTACAACTGTGAAAGATGAAATTAAATAAACAGCAGTATTTATACACTGCCAATACCGTCAATCCAAAGTAACGTAATTTAAGATTTACGGATCCAAAGTCAAGTAAAACTTGGACTTCATTGGTAATAAAATAAAGTTTCGGATGCTTAAATAGGATATTATCTACTGCTAAAATATGTTATTATATACTGTAAGTGTAAACTATTCAGCAATTTGTGTTGTGACATGACAAACAAGGTTTTGAGGAGCTTTTTGAAGAGGAAAAAAGGGGAAATCCTACGATAAAAATCATTAGGGGGCAGAAGAAGCCCTATTTTCAGACATACTTTGCAACACTAGAATACCAGTTAACCAGTTGAAATACAAAAAAATGAGTGATACATCTTGACTTTTAAACTATAATCGTCGAGTAAATAACGTTTATCTTACCACCACTAAATAATAAATACTGCACTTTATAAATCAATACTTGGCTCACTGGCAAGAGGGTTTTAGCCAGAGACCATTTATTAATTTTACATGCAATGCCACAGGAAGTGTAGCTTAGCATTCCCAATATTTTACTTCATGTGGTTAAGACGTCTCAACCGTGTTAATCGTAATTGTCATTACTGTCTCGCAAAGGAAATGTTTATTATTTTATTATATCGTTTAAACACTGATAATGATATGGGAAGTAACTTGACAAAAACCTCCCATTCAATTATTATAAGATTCTTATTTGATGTATTTAACCATAGTTTAGGGGTCGTTTGCTAGAAATTGAGGCCTATAATTACTAAATTTTAAATGAACGATATCTCAACGTAGAATTTGATACGAACATATATTTGATACGATAGTTTGTAGTGAAACTCTTTAAAACCTTGTGATTGATTTATTGGCATTCTTGTCAGCACCAAATAAGCAGGGTAGTTTAGCAGTTAGTCTGTAATATACAATTTATGGCAACCTGCGACAGTGTCTCAAGTACCCTGCGATCACTGTAAATCGTTTAATAAAATCAAATTTATATTTTGATTAGTTATAAAACTGACTGGGAAGTAATAGTTGCAGAGTTTTTAAAGATGTCGTCGAATCATATCTCGATATAAAAATAGGGCAGAATCCAAGAAGCCAGACACAGCTCCGCACTATTTGACCCTTGAATTCCACCTTAATAGTTCAATATATTTCAATTTGATTCCGTTTTACCTGAGAACAGTGCAGGAGTCAGAAATTTTGGAAAGAAATTGCAACAACCGTAAACTTTCCTCACTTAACCAGGCGTTTAATTTTCTCACAACCATTGAAATATTTTCTGGAATCAATATATTAATATATTAATATACGTATACAGATTATGCGTTATTTATAATTAATGACTATTACCCTACATCACGTGACTCTTCCCCCCAGATCCCAGGTAACCCTCTTACCAAGAGGTCCGTGTTGAGCCAGACTGATGACGGATACCAGCTGGTTCTCACCACGACGGAGGGTGGCACTGAAACGGTCACCACCGAGGAGTTTACTAAAGACGAGATGGCAAGGTTTATATCTGAAGGTTAGTCTGACTGTTCAATCTTTCGACTCTCGCCTTCCCAGAGTATACGTTGTTACATTCAACCATGGTCATTGGTCCATTGTAAACTGATGCCGTCTTGATATATGTGACACCGCGTCAATCACAGCGCCGCCACTCAATCAAGGCTTGTTTTTTCAAATAATCAGCGGTTTAACACTGACCGCCCAATAGCAAGTTTTTATATTTACAATGAACTTCCCTCCCAGGTGCTAACTTGGTCCTACAGAGATTGAGTATTATACTCGGAGTACATAGTCGTATGAGCTTTAACGTCTTCTCCACGGATAATGCCCTTGCTAATGTCAGCTACGTGAGTAATCTTCTTTAAACTACCACACAATTATTTTCAAGTTTAGATTAACCGCTACGTAACTCATTTTGCATGATAAATACACAGATTTTAAAACTAAAATCAACAATATCCTTGTTAATGGCAACTTAATATTGATAAATCAATACGAAAGTTTTTGCCGAACTATCAATACAATCGACTATAATAACATGAACAGCTGATACTACCATGAACAGAGGTAGAAATGAACCTCTAATTGACTTCTAATTGACCTGTCGTCGCGGCTAGTATGATTAACAAGATTGGTATACTGTTACCCCTAGTATACCATTGTTCCCAGAAGTCTACGAGGCCTCTTTTTGGGCCTTCTCCAGCACCCTTACAATTAGAGTGAATTAGACCTCAGATTGTTGCCTGAAGTAACGCAACAATGTTGGTGAACATGCATAAACATAGACTATACAGTGTGCTATTGTTAATGTACCTGTGAGTGAAACCCAAGGAACGGCTCCTATATAGAGTGGGGCTCTGAGGGTGTTCATTCTTTATACCAGACAAAACACTGTGGAACAAAGATACAATGACACCAGTCATCAAGTGTGAGAGGCATCAGAATTACGTTACATACGAAACGCGCAGACTGGCGAACTTAAATCGATCATTAGCATTGAGAATTACCAACCTGCACTTTTTGAATAAATTACGTAATGCTCCCACTCGTAGTGGAGCATTTTGCACTATTTTTACGATTGTCTAAAATATTGTAAGTTCTAGCTAAATAATCACTGCTGCATGGATACTAGTTTATCATTATTCCTATAAGACTAATCCCACTGAAGATATCACTGTAATATTTTCCATTCTAATTCAGCCTTGATAACCACTATTACATTTACACATCTGAAGACTTCCACTCTAAGTTCTAACACTCTTAAACCCCCACAGTCCCCTATAGAGTCCCACTCAGTGTTGTTACAGAACGTTACTCTGGAAACCATTGGAATTGAGCGATGTGTGGATAATAAGGACGAGAATCCAACCACCTGGAAAATATACTTCCTCTCTGACGGGTAAATTATATTTTTAATTTGTAATACCTGCCCTGGCCTTGGCTTGCAGCTCGACACCCAAGCCTCTGTCCAACCATATCACTACAATTTACCAAAACCGAAATAATACGCGGGAGATTGACCGTTCTGTATGTGATTTGATTAAAACTACTTTAATTGACTACTTGACTTACTTACTTGCTCCAATGCACATCTGCCAAGAACAAGATACTCGTTATTTTCACACGTGAAAGTAGTTTAGAGTTTAGTCAACTAAACACGACTCAATTTAAGTCAGTGCTCCACCATTGGTGGAGCACTGACTTAAACCACCAACCTCAAATCAACCACCTCATCATGCTAAACATCAACGCGGTTATTTTGTTATTTTTCTCAATTCTAGAAATCTCCAACCTTGCACTATTGATGCTTGCCTGTTTAATTTGTTTACTTTAGTATTAAAATTTCCACAATCCAAATTAATTAATAGTATCAGTTTAACTTGTTTATATATTTTTTAATCTATTTGTTAGTGATTAAAACCAACTATGGCGTACGGAAATATTAAATGAAATTCGGTCCGGTGCATTTCCTAAAACTTAATATAATGCACCTTATCTGACTTTATTTGGTCGAAAATTACGTGAGCGGCGAGCGCTAGAGGGCTCATCGTCCACGTAATGTCCGCCCAAATTAAATTCCGCCCACCATGCACGGCCCCAATTTAAGGTATATGGGCCCTATTTGCTCGAAAATCTGTGTTCCCGCTCAATGTATTATTGCGTATATCTGCACCAATGTATGAGCTCATACAACTGTAAAACTGTTATACGAATATTTCCCAAGATTTTCAACCTTCCATTTCAGCCACATGTATACCCGCGCTCAAGTCGGGTCACCAGTGTACATGAAGATTAAAGATATCCCAGAGAACTTCATGAAAGACGAAGGTAAGGAATCCTACATCCTTACTAAGTTGAGACCACGAAATAGATTTATCCTTCGCTTACCATGTTACCTAATATTTAAGATGGTTGCAGCATCTAATTAAGGTAAATTTTAATAAGATCTTGACCGCCCTAAAATGTACAGCCCTTTAAAAAATCGTCAAAAACCAGATCCAAGATTTTCGAACTTTTTGGAAAGTTGCAAAACGTCAACTAAATTATGAGTCAGGATGAAATGAGATTACATCGATTAGTTGTAACCCCCTCTCTTTCACTAGACGCTGATTGGGTATTCCCTGATTTCGGAAAAGGAAAGCTGCACTGGGAGGATGATATTGAGATGTTGTCACACTTTCTGGACAGAAAGGAGGAGTTGAAGGAGGACCATGTTAACTACATGAAGAGACATCCTGAGCTCAAGGCCATCCTCGGAGATTTTTTACAGGTACTGGGTAGGAAGGAAACCGGATGTTAAGTAAACGAACCAAAAACTAAAAGCTCTGTTGATTTATTTTATTAGAACCAAACTTACAAGTTACAGTCACTATCCTTAAGATTATTGGTGTATTAGTGTCTCAACAACTAAAAGCTGTAGATGACAAAAAAGGTTTTTAAAACGGTAGAAATCTGCAATAACTGCTTCCAAATTACCTTTTAATGAGTAATTCTAATATGTTTCTTATCTAATTGAGATTGTTATCTAAACTGAGGTTCACTTTCAGTTCCTGTTGATGAGAAAGCCAAGTGATGTGATAGAATTTGCAGCAGATTTCTTCTCCTCCTACTCTGCAACCGCAGAAATGAAACCCTCGTTTGCCCACTCCAACTTCGTCAACCAGTCAGCTATCCGATCAGAATAGATTGTGGATTAGCCAATCAACCATGTACATATCACTAATATTACTTCCTCTATTTGAAACATCAATCATAATTTCTACCATATTTGAAACAACTATTTGATCAACGAGTAAACATTATCTGCCTTCATCTCCTCTGCTTTTCTTGATTATCTGAACACGAATTGCATGAAGATAAGCTACTAGGACCCTACTGAATTTAAAGTTCTGTTTCGCTCTTTGAATTAGTCATAAATTTGATGTGAGTTGAACTTTCGTACAAGCTTAGAATCAATGATATGATCAGTTTTTTGTAACTTCATGTATGATTACAGATACCAAATGTGTAATTGTTAATGTAAGATAATTTTGTAATTAAATATAGTAGATGAAGCCGCCTGTCATTTAAAAACATGAATATTCTGTTGCATTTGTTAATAAATTTGGATTTTCATACGCTGTAAATATAACATGAACATTTCTCTTATCAGTTATTCTTATGAACCTCCTGAAGTATAATGTTTGTAAATATTATGAGAGTGTGGTATTTATTCAGGTAAACACTTCTTCTCTTCTAGTTCTATTTCTTTATTGTAATAACAGCTATTTTCTTTTTGTCGCACAATCTTATCATATAAAGCGGGAGAGGCTTTGAGGTCTATAAAATTTGAAATCAATTGAAGTGCACTAATCTTGTCTGTTGTCACACGTTGTAGACCTGCCGCGCACGAGTGCGCGGCTGTATCGTGGCTTTCGCCACTTAGTGAAAGGACAATGGGGGTCACGACGTGATACAACACTAATCCACGGATGAAAAGCGACATTTCCAGACGTTGCCTTGACCCACGCTGCAACCCCTGCCGGAGTGCACGAGAGAGGTATCGTATACAACGTGTAGCAAACGTTGCCTGACCTGACACATACAATTACACAGCTAATTGCCTCACTGCTCAAGTCGCGAAACCTAATTTTTGTTAAATCATTCGTCATTCGTGGCTCTTCTGTCTTCGCATTTCGCAAAAATTAGGTAAAGCTGATCGTGAAGTAAAACAATTTTAAGCGCCCTATATATTAGATTTAGAGATCTCTCGAGCGTGCGCAACAGCAACATGTTAACGGGTGATACTTCGTAAAATATTTGTTCCAACCGTCGACGAGTCCAACTCGGCGCGCGTCCTGGTAGGTTATAAACCTACAAACAACATGCAATTGCAACAACATCTACATTGTACTTCATGCTTTAATTCTCCATTATTGATGGACTGCAATGCCGGCCGGAGCGCGCTTAGCTTATACGTGCCCAGTTTAATTGACGATGTCAATTTATCTTAGCTCGGCGCGGCACTGTAGCGCATCTCGCCGATCGCTGTGAGTGTGAGAAGCCTCATTGAGTGCGCGGCGCGGCACAGTAACGCATCGCGCTACAAGTGCCCAGTATATATGATATAGCGCAATGCACTACTGGACCGCGCTGTGCGCATCAAATTGCAATTGTATGCAAATAATTTGGAAGACTTCGCCGCTTCGACGCACCGCGCAAACTACAAACTAGCATTCTTGCTAGCAACGATCTCGACGGATTGACATCGTCAATCAAGCAAATAATATTTTTCGCAACCACTGTGACTCTTAGTAGATCGGCAAAATGTACTGTACTGGGCAATGCCGAGCTGCAAAGGGTTAAAATCGCGCTTGACCATTGTTAATGGTCTGGCCCGGCGCGCGCTACTTCGTAGCACGTGCCATAACATTTCGAGAAGAAAGCGGCGCGCGCTACTTCGAAGAAATTTAGACGAGTAACATCCGTCAACATCGCGCCATCGTGAATCAAATTATGATAAGTCTAAGGCAAAATTAAAACATATTCTATTGTAAAATTGCTCTATCCAAAGCCCTTGCGCTAGCTTGCAGTAGCGCCCGCCCGCCTTCCAGCTTTACTTGTGAAACATGAAGCGCGGCGCCCGCAGTGGCATGGCGCGAAAGCACATGGTTAGTTGAATGTAAACCACACTAAACTTTTAAAAAGCAAAAACCATATAATTATTATACAAGGCGCATGTTATAATACATTGCTGCCAAAAGCACATCCAATTTGATACGTATGAAATATTTGTCATACGTTGTATGACCTGCCGCGCACGAGGGCGCGGCTCCCCCTGTATCGTCAGGACGACAAAGTGAGTCACCACTATAGTGAAACGACCGTGGGAGTCGCAACGTGATACAATGAAATATGTTTATAATTGATAATTTCCTTGATTATGCACTAACAACTTAGTTGGCGTTCTGCAACCAAAATACTGAATACGTCAGTAGCGTTTTTGAGCTTGTTATTATCTTTCAAAAGTTCCAGGTGGTTAATCTATAAGTGTCTATATTAACTTTAAATACATTGCAAACTAATTTATTTCGATTCATGAAGTTTGAAAGAAGTTACAGCAATGCGCGCAATTTGGGGAATGTGCTTTCGGCGGGGATATAACCTGCGCCATAATACAATATATGTAGATTGTAGGTATTAATATAAATATATGATAAAAGTTAGTATACAGTGACATTAAATCAACCAAAAAATAAAAATATTTTAGGAAGGTTGCTAGTTTGCGCGGCGCGTCGAAGAGGCGAAGTCCTCCGATAGAAAGGTAAAGATCAAAACGTAAAATGGAGCACGATAAAAATATAAGCCAAATTAGTGTCTTTTGTTTGACCATTGTCAATTGTTAATGGTCTGGCCTGGCGCGTGCTACTCCGTTAACGGGTGATACTCGTAAAATATCTGTTCGTCGACGAGTCCAACTCGGCGCGCGTCCTGGTAGGTTGTAATCGGGCAATAATATTTCGAGAAGAAAGCGGCGCGTGCTACTTCGAAGAAATTTAGACGAGTAACATCCGTCAATCTTTTGTCCAGCCATTGCGTTACATTTACGCCGAGCTGCGATGAATTGACATTGTCAATTAAACATTCGCTCGAAATAGTTGGTATCAGTAATACATATCAACATTAGTGGAAGAGAGTTCCATGCAAAAGGGGGTTTGGGCCCAGAAAAGGTTTTTGTTCAACTTTTGACTTTTTTTTTTTTTTTTCGCATGAAGAATGGTCACCTGGTCTCTTCGACCTGGTCATTGGTGTTTGAAGAGTTCTTATCCAACTACATCCACAGCCATTAATGCTTTGGAGGTAACCAGAGTGTAGTACCGTGAACTGATTTGTGGGTAATAGACAAAGACGAGTCCTTGTCTATAGGAGTATGTGGCCTTCTTATAGATCAAACCCAAGTCTGTTCTGACTTCTATGTTATAGATGACAGAACAATTAACCATATCAATTAATGTTTATTTCTAAATCGTGCAATAGAAGTTTTGTACTCGCATTTGCTATTGATAACTTGCGAATAAGGTATTCAATACTCATGAGCAAAATTTGCCAAATGTCCTGTCCTTATGTTTGAAACATAAATTGCTGCTGCACAATTCACATGTTGTCCTAAAGTACTTATTATCTACACCATTCATGAACTTTTAATCTTTATTACAGTGTTAGTTGCACCCTCGCTATCTTTATTAATCCCCCAGTTAGCTTTTAATGAGACTCTTTAACATTTATGTTTGTAATGCAGACATGGGATATTTTAGATTTTGCAACCAAATCAGATGACTTTTCGTTGGATCAGGCCAAAGAATGTATGGTATACTAAAGCCGAATTATTAAAACCTGTATAGTGAATGTCTTGCAATTAACTTGGACCAGACTCCATCAGTCCTACACAACAAAGATCAGTCACTGTATCTGATTTCCATAGGTAGAGCTGTGAGATCAAATAATTATAATTCAAGATTTGAATCCACTTTTTGCCAAGAGGTTATGGTACCTATTGCCTTGCGCCAGATGACCTGTTGTGAGTGCACTATTTTTAGATTTAATGATAATGTATTGTGCTAAAAAATTCAAGTTGATTTTTAATTCATTTTCCTCTCAGCAAAATGCTCACCCCAGAAGATGACTTGGAGCTCCTGAACATTGAAGGTCAAGCAGCAGATGAAGCCAATTTGCTTCTTTCTTTCTAGGACCTACTACAGAGCGATCATGGGATGCGTTTGGGAACTGGCTCAGTTGTTATCTGCCTGTGTAAGCTGCACTGATTTTTTACATACACGAAAGAAATTGGGAAATTCTAGACAGCTCCATAGGAAGGAGAGTGGGACAGGGAATATAGATAACCTAAAAAGTTCAAGGATCTGAGAATGAATATGAGGACATTGAGATGCTTTACTTGAAACCAAACAGACGTGCAGATATGAGGTTATTGGTTAAAGCACAGTGCTCACAAAGAGATTTGTTTGAATTCATGTGGCATTTTTGGAGGTCAGTTTGAATTATGTTATCTTTGTTCTCACTACTACTGGCAGGGGAGTCATGATTCCTGTTCCGCAGGTGTAAATTCTCCAACGATAGTCTATTTCCAGCAGGAATTCCCATCATTTTGCTCTTCCCTCTACTCCCTTGGTGGACATAATTTGATACATGTCACCAAACTTAACTTAGGCCAACCTTGCAGACAGGATCATAACATATGAGGATTAACCCAGACCGGCTGGGCTAATATTCAATAAAGTTGGTATACTGTTTGCTCTACTTCACTCTGTGTGGTGCTTTCTTGTGCGGGCAGTCTCCAAGAACGTGAACACAAGTGGAGTATTGAGGGGCTGACTTGTTCCTGAATGGGCTGATGATGGAAAAGGGAATTGGGTTGTACTGGGATGCTTTCTATTTCCAAATCGAATCTATGCTATTACAGTTGTTATGGGAGCCTCCATCAACCGGGCTTAAGAACACTTCGTTTGAGCATGCCAGTTCTTCTTTGTCTTCATACCTATCTGATTTGTTTTTGGGCACTTTCCAAAACAATGTAAACCATTTCAAAGAAAAAGGCTCCTAAACCTGTCAGCACAGCAGGCCATCAATAATAGGACATAGTGAAATTATGTGATATTGTGAAGTGACCCACATTTTTTCGAACGTTGTGGAGAATTTCACAAATTTTCCTCCCTGCTTGTCTCTGCCTTAGATTGTCATTTCAATAACTGCATGTGTCCTAATTGTGCTGTGAATTTAGTTTGCTCCAGTTGATCAGTACTCATTTTGGGCTAAACTGCTGATCAAATTTCATTGTGTTTTTTTTTAAACCCAACCGAACCCGTATTCCATATAATTTTAGATTTCAATATTATTGTATCATAACAGATAGTTTTAACTTAATTTTACTGATCATATTGATATGATACTATAATTCCAGTTTAGATCAGCTCATTTTGGCCTCTAATGCCTTTTACAGCTGGCGATAGGTTGGTTAATGGTTTTAGAATATAAAACATTAATTTTATTAAGTAGTAAGTTGATTATAAGATGAATTGTTAAATTTCCTACTATAATTGATGTTACTATGCTATATCCAGTTGACAAATGACTTCAAAGTTCAACTTAAGATCATAGAATTAAAAAAATATCAGAATTTAGAATTTTAAAATAAAGAAGTGTAATTTATGTAATAATTAATTTTTCTGACTCACTCTCATTCTCGAATGACGTTAAGAATAATTTCATAGCATGATTTTAGTTAGTATGAAAATTTTTAGAATTTTTTAATACTGCATGAGATTATTTGATCTGCATTTCCCAGCATTAAGATTAAAGAGGCATTAGAAAATTAAAAACTATATCGTCTTATTATGGTTATATATGAATTATAAATTGTATGACAAAAAAAAAAATTTTTACTTTTAATTTGCGATCTGATTTTAATTATGTGTTTACTTAGTTTTGCTTTGATATCATGTAAATAGCTGTGATATAAAGTTGATAGTTATTAATGAATGATTATATAAGAACATGGACAGTAAGATGATAATTTATTCTTCTTAATATCAAATACTTTGTATTGCAGTTATACATACGTAATATTACTACAAAATTTTATTTTCTGACCCAATTGTGTTTTTAATTTCTAAAACTCTCCTTCCTTGGTCAGATGCCTAAAAATTTCATGAAAATATGTTTCAACTAGCCAGGGAACATATAATGAAAAGTCCCCCAAATTTGAGATGAAATTCAGAGTTCATGATTTAAAGTGTTAAATGCTATTTCATGTATAACCTTGATCGATTGAAATATTCAGATGACTTCACCAATAACAATATTTATAACTATGATATTTTATTTAGTCAATGACTCACTTGAAATTTTCATTTCCCACTACATGAATGTGGTAACTGGGACTAGACTATTCATCAGGTGAAATGGCAAGCAGTGCGTGAAGACAGTCCTCAGTCTGCCCCAAAACCCGGAACTGATATGTCATTGACGGATCTTCATTTGTGTCCAAAGTTGTTTCGGGGCAGACTACTGGATATTCGGAGGACAGTGGAAAGAGATAAAGGACATGGTGAAAGTTTTGTTAACAGCTGTTGGCGAGGGGTGTGGATGTAGGTTTGTCATGCCACACCTGGAAGACGCGCTCACTCCCACTGATCTTAATACATAAAACTGGTCTCGACTTTGTGTCTATCAATCAGAGGCTGCCTACAGCTATAGACTTTATCAGAACCCTCCGTGCCTAGTTTGTTGTTGCTCAGATTCTGAACCATTCCGTTTCGAGGTGATATGTTCGGTCAGTGATTTCGAGTTTGAAGTAGCAGCGTGGCTAAAAGGTTAACTGTACAAGGAATGATCTCCATAATATAGATTCAATAGCTCTGAAGGCGTACCTCTTCTTTAACTCACCACATTTACACTGAGAAACACACCTTAATTAAATCGACAGATTCTACTGACAAAGAATCTAGGGTTGAGAAACACCACCTGCCCCTATATCATGTCTCCTCGTAAATTCACTCATTCCTCGGAGATCTACACGCATCCACAGAAAACTTCAGTCAAATGCTGCTCTCGGACCTATCTATCCTTACATCATCCAAGAATCTTGCATGTAGTTCGCCCGCCAAACTACACAAATAACATTTTAGCCCCACTGCTCTGCGACGAATCCAAATACAACTTTCTCCAAGCCATTATCAGTAGTATAATTTTCTTGCGTCGATGAAGCTTGGAAACCAAATCACCTCAATGACTGTCGAGTTACTTTATAACATCACCAGGTAAGCATTTTTCAAACCACATAATTTCATCTCACCAATGTTATAAATAATAATTTCATCTACAATACAATCATTAAAACTAAATTAAAATCGTAATATATTTTATCAAAATTGATACAATTTATCGAATGCTGTTTATGGATTTTATATGGTGTAAATTGCGATTCTTTTTGCCAATAATTTAGAAAATTTTGTTCACATCGAAATGACAACTTTCCCATTGAAATGATCCCAAATCTATATAAAATATTGATAATGACGTATTTTAACCTCATTCAGATATATGAAATCATAAACAAAACAGATCATTGTGAACTCCATACCATTTTTGGCGGTATCGGACAGTTAACCTGTATGAACAAGGTTTACCCTCGAACATGAGCCCCTCACTTCCTTTCCTCCTTCAACTTGTAGCCGACCCCTCCGAAAGCATCTATAGAATCTGCTCGGTATTTGCTGCCTCTGTCACAGAGAAATGTACCGCCAGTAACCTAGCTTGTAGAAGCTGTCACTTGAAGAGTCACAATCAAAGAAAAGACAGTGAAGTGGAGCGTTAACAGAGTAATAAAGAGGATATCTGAGAATGGCCCACGTTTGTGAAGTGTTTGCGCAGGTGACATTTTAACACCACCCTGGCACAGCAGCAGCCTCCCCATTACCTGGTCTGTGTTTGTATCCTCAACTACTGTGCATATCCTCTTATTCCAGCTTGCGCAGTGGAGCTTAACGCTTCTGCACAGGCTGTTTCTCATACGACGCGGCTGATGTGACGTCCTAAAACGAGTACTGGTATCAGTTGTTAACACACGTGCTATCAACATAACTCTCAAGTCTAGCACGTGGGGGGGGCTCCGAGCCCTGCTTCAGATTGCCTCGATACTTACCTACCTACAGAACCATTCTTACTGCACAACTATTTGATGGAAGCTCTACAGTTTCGCATTACTAACCTTCGGATGAAGGGCTACCATTGAAAAGCTTGTGACGATATGCCGGACAGAGTTGAGATGTTTAAGGTTTTCTGATGATGGTGTTACAGTCATGAACATGTCTATTGATGAAGAAGAGAAGAGGAGGGATCAACGACGAGGAGAGAAAAGAGGGTGAGAAATGTCTCGATTGTTTCCAGAGTATGAGACAATCTCCGACGATAGTTAGAAATAGAACCTTGTCACAAGATGATGACGATCTCCTTTAACGAGCTGTACTGGTGGTTTTCTAGGACATAACTGTTTTGATTAAGATCTGTGTGGAATAGACTGAGATACATCTGAAGCTCACAAGAGACGTCTGATAATAGCACAAGACAGAAACAAAAGAACACTCAGAAATAAGAGTTAGCTAGATCGAAAGGTTCAACAAATGTGCTGTGGCTGAGAATGATGAACCTACAAATGACCAGCCCTGTTACCAACAGAACGCATTCCCAATTACCCTTCTGTTGCGGAGAATACAATCAACAGAAGAGCAAAAAGTACCGAAGCTGAGGCCAGTAAAACCTCCAAACAATTCTCAGTCAGATCCAAACAGTTTGTTTCCCGTCAATGGGATCGTACCTCCTAAGTTCCCATTGCAACTAAGAAGCCAGCATTTTCGCCCAAATAACGGTCACGAAGCTTGTGTCACCTGAACCCCCCAACCGGGCCTAGAAGATTACCCTCTCCCGCCCTCTGCTCAACAGGATGAACAGTTGATCTTCCAGCCCAAAGCTCCGGAGCAAAGAATTCAAGCCCCTCCCCCTTCCCCCCCTCTCCCTGATCCAATGCCTCTGTACTCAACCCTTTTAAGTAAAGCTGAAATGGTTTCCCCTCCTCATAGCCGTTGATACAAGAGGCACACTGACAAGGAGACATGTATCAACCAGAGTGGAACCCTAATTCTGTGTGGGACCTGATGGGGTCCGTCTCATCAAACCACAACAAAACCCTGTGAAGAGACACAGTAGCGATAATCGTAGATGTTATTGTCGATATTTGACTATTATAATAGACAATAGTGTGTCAATTGAGAATCAAGAATAGTACAAATTATGCTACTATTCAAGTTATTATTGAACCTTCCAATTATGCCCAACTTGAGCTTTAGTCATTAATTTTTTTAAGTATCTAGATCATATGACTGTTTAGGCTGCCTATATGTCAAATAAAGTTTTTTACTCTATATCAATAATACAATTGTAGTTATACTTAGGCTTTTCACAAGTACTTGTCAGGAGGACGTGAATTATTAATTAGTGTCTCTGCTTAAATCCTGATGTCTTGCATCTAAGTAACTGTTTTCCTCAAAGTAATAATTTGTTGTTAGTGTTACAAATATAGAACCTGCATTGCTAGAGCTTAGTAATTAGAGTTTTTTTAATTGTTTGTGTGCACTTGTTATGTTGTTCGGGCTGATTGGTCACGAGGATGTAAGATTCGTGTTTGTCAAATTTTTAAATGTTATATTACATCAAGATAATTCATCCTGCAAACAATTCTAATAATGAACCCAAATCATGATCAGAGACATTTATTTTAGACAAAAATGTTCACAAACGTTCGATTTTTCCCTCAAGTTTTTTTTAATTATAAAACTGTGACCCTTTATTTTTACTAATATGTTAATCATTAAAATTCCATTAAGTTTATTGAAACATATTTGTAGTCATTTGACTGCCTAAACTATAATTGTAATACACAAAATCTTTCAATTACTACAAAAGATCAGTAAATAAATTAAATCTACAAAAATAAAGACGTCAACTAACTAATTTTCCTTATAATCGATATGAAACAAAATGACAATGACAATAGTTATCCGAGATCTTAAATTCATATTTTCTAATATAAATAACAGCTGACCATATTTAAATACTGAACTTAGTTTCCTAGATCTTTTTCTAATTTTCAAGATGCCAAAACGAAAAACACTGTCACGTAAGCTCCGACTTCGGATGAGGAGATTAAAGAAAAACTGCATCAAACGACCAGAAACCCGATTGTACCAAAGGCAAAAGTAGATGGATCAGAACTTGAAACAGCCAGCTATACAAACCTTCTGATAGTGCAGCTACAACATGAAATCTAAATTAGAAGGATGCTTGAAGTAAAGGAAAACAAAAGTGTATCACTAAAAAGCTAAACCAAGAAGTCAGGATATTCTTCACTTTATCTGAAACTCCTGAAAGAATGTAAACACCCGCGGATCCCTCTCCTAAGAAGACAACGTCTAACAAACCACCGAAAGTTGCTGTGACTTGCTCACAAAACAAAGAAGTGACCCGAATTCACAGAGTTTTAGCCGACCCCAAAGGTCCTGACGTATTAAGTTCAATCAAAAACATCTGACAATTGGGGCTCACATTTCATGCTAAGGAGTTTATATGGCTTATCAACGCCATTTAAGATAAAAGCTACTTCATGGCTTTATTTACTGTATAACAGAGCTGTATGACGAAGAGAAATTAAAACATAACTGATTTTTAAAATTTCCTCGAACAAAGCTTTCGACTAGCGGGTTTCTAGTACCCAATATTTGGAACAAATATTTTAAGAGTATCACCCGTTAACATTTTCATGTCTACGTGAATACCATCAAGATTCTATATTAAAGTCACTATTGTGACGGTACATTAGAACTAAACAGAAACAAAGTGTGAAGGGCCTGAACGGAATATGCGTTTTTTTGGGCGACTAAGGATGAATAGAGATAGTCGATAAAACGTTTGGCTATTTCTCGAACTGTACCGAGTCTGCTGTGTCAGGTGGAAAGATCAGCAGGCTGATGTTCATTGTTCAGTCTTGAAAGAATTGGCGGTCCCGTGCAAAGTCGGTTGTCTGTTAAATACAGAGTAGTTGAAAAGGGTATGTTTTTTAAAAGTAGCAAATCCCATTTTTTTTCATTTCATCAAAAGTTATCGTTATTTCCAAGAAACGAAAATCAAAACTTCTAGTATAGCCGCCTGCATTATCAACAGAGTGTAAAAGTTTCTCGATGAAGATGATGAGATTGAGTGATGAGACCCTGTCATTAGCACGTAAGCACGAGGACAACCTATCACTCTATCCTGTGCCCAGTGTACAAAGTTCAGGGGGAGGAGGTCCTGATCTGCGATGATGAGAGTGAACTTCCGTTTTGTGAGCCAGGAATGTATTTTGTGTCTTATGGTACATTAAATGGCGGCCAGAGACAAGCAGCAACCTCAAGCGGCAACATTCTGATGACTGATAGTTAAATTTACTCCAACTTTAGAGTGAACTATCGATCCTGTAGATAATATCTCCATAGTATCCACACTGGATGTTAAACGTCCTATTTAAAACCAAATTTGATGTTGCGTTAAAAAATTTAACGCAGATATATTTATCTTCTTAAAGGTTTTTAAACTGCAGATGGTATATCAAAAATGTGTCCCCAATACATAAAGTTATGTACAGCTAATATCACGATCTATTGTGAGACTCACCCAGCAGCCATAGCATGACAAGTGTCGAAACAAACTCCCACTCTCGTCTTGTCAGTCACGTGACTGATTATACTCCCTAGATCAGACAGATCGCCTCCAACAGTTGTTCCCTGAAATATTTAAGCGTAAATCCGCGTAATATCTTCATTAATGATTAAGATAAATTGTTTTCTGTCCCATTAAATAAATTGTTACTGCACAAGACAGAGGACGTATACTTGTGTCACAGTGACGTGAGTAGGCTTTGTTACACGGTACTATGCAACATAATCTAGAGTCCATCGGCTCAGTTACAATGGCAATTCTGGGATAATGTAATCAGGTTGATATACACAGGTGCAGCTAATCAGGCTCGGTTACCTACACTGCTATCCACGCACACTTTGATATCAGATCTAATGCAAGGCCCTCATTCTACAAATTAAAGTGTTTTGTTATCTAGTCGGACAAATCTGTAATCTACCTGGCAGGCAAAACACCATTACTTGCAATAATTTCGTGTGAAAAATCCAAGAAATCAAATGTTCGTACAAAAAATTGAGACTGGTGGGAAGATGAGCTGGTGGGAAGATGAGCTGAAACTTAAATGTCTGTTTATGATAAGCATTCCAGAGCCTGTTTTTAATGAGTCGTAGATAAATGTGACCATTGCAATGAGCTTTCCAAGCTCGATCAACTTCGTGAAAATATGGCTCAATACTCACCAGTCCCACCCAGGCCACCGGTGTCCAATCATACAAAATAATGTTATGTTTTCCTAAAAACCAAAAGACTATATCACATTTTGCATCTTACTTTACTAAGAGCCAATATTATCTGGCAACCGTAAGAACACTAAAATACCCCCCACGACCACGGGCCACACGGACTTATAATTGGCCCCATAGTAAGGCCTCTCTTAACTATCTTGCAAACATTCTGCATGCCATCTACAGATCGATACTCCGTGGGTGAGCTAATTCATTTTCAGGTTATCGTCATTTTAAATTATGCTGTATACGGTGTATGCGGATTGGATAACTTCATTAATTGTGTTTGAAGATCACGTAAATATGATTTTCGGAAAGCGATCCATAGTTAAGCAGATACATTAATTTCACAATAATTTAATAATAATTCAAGCAACAGGTGGATGAACGGCTAAATGGTTGAAATGTTGATTTCAGATCCTCAGCCTGGTTAAAATTTAATCGGTTTTCTAGAATTCGAAAGTTAAACTAGGCGCGCGCACGTTTCAAAAGCGCGAAAAGTGCTTTACTTGAAATAATTAAAGCATTTTCGCGTGTTCCAGTATCTTTCAAAAGAAGACCCTTTTCTAGTTCCCCTTAAAATTATTTCGAAAATTTCTCTGGGCGTAGGATGTAAGGGCAAAAGATTTGGGGCCAAAAATGAATCAAGAATAGCCTATCTAATAGGGCAAGAACTGAATACTCTTTCACGATTCAAGTCATTACAATAACCGGAACCTGACCAAAACTCAATCTTAAAACCTGACCCAAGTCTCCAATTAGCTCATTTCCATAAATGACTTTCGTAAATGACTTTCGCTGCGGCCATGGTCACAGGATTTACAGATACCTGTCACTAACGGCTGAAAAGTGGCATCAATGTCTGGATAACCCACCTGTTTGCACATATTTTCAAGAAGGACAGTTACATTGGAGGTAGCAGAGTGTGCCTTGTTTATACTCTCTGCTATCTGTTGTAAACATTTCTCTTTATCCATACCCTTCACAGCACTTCCAGGATGTATGTTCAACTGTAACGATATTACTGTTCTCGAAAAGGTAATATAATAGCTCCAAACAATGATTGAATAAAAACACTTTACAGATTAATTAAAAACCACTTAACAGATTAATAAAAAACACTTAAGATGAATATCAATTAAAAAAGAGATAAATAAAAAAGATAAAAGGATCATATTTCTAATGATCTCACAGGTCAAATCCATCTTGTAACCCTTTTCTTTAACCTAACTTGGATAGAGTAACATGGCGACTTAGTCATATATAATATAAAGGAATTAATTAAGTAAGTTCGCTTTATCTTTGGAATGTTTCAACTATTAGACCTGCCAGACAACTTACCCAACACAGCTGTAACTGCTCACAAATCTTAAGCTCAGTTTCAAAGCAAGCGTAACTTTTATCGTATATAGTCTGATCTGGAGACCCCAAATTAACGAGATAGTTACCATGTGGTACTATGTTCTCCCGCTTGTATCCCAAAATCTTTACACCTTCGTTAAATATTGAAACTTCTTCATCTGACAGAGCTGAACATTAGGGGCGTTACGATTAGGGGCGTTACAATTAGGGGCGTTACAATTAGGGGCGTTACAACTTCCAGATTATATTTAAGATGTCAGGGTGATCATAATTTAAGCTGTTACCAGTAGCAGTAGGGATCGTTCACATGTTACGTAAGCCAGCCGAGTTATTGCTACAGTAAATACAATAGCTATATGTGCATGTGTAAAGTGGCTTTTAAACAGAGGGGTAGTCAAAATTCTAAATGTGGCTTACGTAATATATGTGAACATGAAGTTTGAGCTTGACACGGATCATAGCTGTGATCCCTACCAAACTCTTTAGAAAGTATCACAATGGTATATAACGATACTTTTATTAAATTAAAATCAAACCTTTTTCAGTGGTCCACCTGCGAGGCTGCGTGATAAAGAAAGCCATTGAAGTAGCTTTTATCTTAAATGCGTTGATAAGCCCATTATAAACTCCCTTAGCCACTGAAATGTGAGCCCCAATTGTCAGACTGTTTTCTGATATGAACTTAATAACGTCAGGACTTTGGTCGGCTAACTCTGTGAATTCGGTAACTTTTTGTGTGAGCAAGTCTACAGCAACTTTCGGTGGTTTTTTAGCCGTTGTCTTCTTAGGAGCAGGATCGCCGGGTCGTTTACATTCTTTCAGGGATTTCAGATAAAGTGAAGAATATCCAGATTTCTTGGTCTTAGCCTTTTTAGTGGTATCACTTTTGTTTTCCTTTACTTCAAGCATCCTCTCTAATTTAGATTTCATGCTTGTAGCTGCACTATCAGAAGGTATGTCACTAGCTGGCTGTTTCAGTCCATCATCTACTTTTGCCTTTGGTACAATCCGGGCTTTTCTGGTTCGTTTGACTGCTGTTTTTTCTATAATCTCCTCATCCGAGTCGGAGCTTCGTGACAGTGTTTTTCGTTTTGGCATCTTGAACACTTAGAAAAAGATCTAGGAAACTAGTGTCAGTATTTAAATGTCAGCTGTATTTCTATTAGAAAGTATCAATTTAAGATCTCGAGACACTAATTGTCATTTGTCATTTAGTTTCACATCGAATATAAGGAAATTTAGTTAGTTGACGCTCTTTATTTTTGATAGATTTAATTTAATTTACTGATATTTTTGCAGTAATTGAAAGATTTATGTGAAATTACAATTAATAGTTTAGGCAGTCAAATGAAACAAATTGTTTCAATAACTTAATGGTATTATAATGACTTAACAATTAGTAAAAATAAAGGGTCACAGTTTTCTAATCCAAAAAACTGAGATAAATCGAAGTTTGTGAACATTTTTGTCTAAAAATAAATGTCTCTGATTCATGATTTGTGTTCATTCATTAGAAATGTTTGCAGGATGAATTATCTTGATGTAATATAACATTTAAAAATTTGACAAAAACACGATCATACATCCTCGTGACAATCAGCCCGGGCCGAACAACATAAACAATTGCACACAAACAATTAAACAACTCTAATTACTAAGATATAGCAAGTAGCAATGCAGAGTTCTACTTATTTGTAACACTAACAATAAATTATTACTTTGAGAAAACAGTTACTGTAGATGCAAAGACATCAGGATTTAAGCAGATACACTAATTAATAATTCACGTCCTCCTGACAAAGTACTTGAAAAGCGCTAAAGTAATAAATAACAATTGTATTATCTGATTATAGAGTAAAAACATTTCATCTTGACATATAGGCAGCTAAACAGTCATATGATCTAGCATACTTAAATAACATTAATGACTCAAGCCTCAAGTTGGCATAATTGAAGGTCACGTAATAACTTGCATAGTAGCATAATTTGTCCTATCTTGATTCCTCACTTGACACACTATTGTCTATTATAATAGTCAAATATCGACCAATAACATCTACGATTCCTCGCTTCTGTGTCTCTTCACAGGGTTTTGTGTGGTCGATGAGACGACCCCATCAGGTCCCACCACAGAATATAGGGTTCCACTCTGGTTGCTACCATAGTTCTCCTTGTCAGAGTGCCTCTTGTACCTCATCGGATATGAGGAGGGAAACCCATTTTCAGCTTTACCATACAAAGGGTCTGAGTACAGAGGCATTGGATCAGGGAGAGGGGGAAGGGGGATACGGGGCTTGAATTCTTGCTCCGGAGCTTTGGCTGGAAGATCAACTGTCTCCATCATGTTGAGCAGAGGGTCGGGAGGGTAATCTTCAAGGCCCGGTGGGGCGGGTTCAGGCTGAACACAAGCTTCGTGAACGTTATTTGGGCGAAATGCTGGCCTTCTTCCAGGTTGCAATGGGAACTTAGGAGGTACGTTACCATTGACGGGAAACAACTGTTTGGATACTGACTGAGAATTGTTTGGAGGTTTTACTGGCTCAGCTTCCGGTACTTTTTGCTCTTCTGTTGATTCGTCTTCCTCCGCAACAGAAGGGTAACTTGGGAATCGCGTTCTGGTAACAGGGCTGGTCATTTGTAGGTTCATCATCTCAGCCACAGCACCATTCGTTGAATCCTTTCGATCTAGCCTAACTCTTATTTCGGAGCTGTTCTTTGTTTCTGCTGTGCTATTATCAGACGTCTCTTGCTGAGCTTCAGATGTATTCTCAGTCTTATCCTCACCAGACTTACTCAAACCAGTAATGTCCTTAGAACCACCAGTAACAGCATCGTTAAAGAGATCGTCATCATCTGTGACAGGTTCTATTTCTACCTCATCGTCTGAGATAGTCTCATACTCTGGAACAATCGAGACACTCTCACCCTCCTTCTCTCCCTCGTCATCTGACTCCTCCTCTTCCTCTTCTTCATCAATAGACAAGTTCTTCGACTGTACCACCATCATCAGAAACCTAAACATCTCAACTCTGTCCGGCATCTCGTCACAGAGCTTTTCAATGGTAGCCCCCTTATCCGAAAGGTAGTAATAGAAACTGAAGAGCTTCCCATCAAAATAGTTGTGCAGTAAGAATGGTTCTGTAGGTAGGTAAGTAACAGAGGCAATCTGAAGCAGGGCCTCAGCCCCACGTGCTAGCTGGAGAGCTATGTTGATAGCACGTGTGTTAACAACTGATACCAGTACTCGTTTTAGTGACGTCACATCAGCCGCGTACTGAGAAACAGCCTGTGCCAGAACTGCGTTAAGCTCCCACTGCGCAAGCTGGATAAGAGGACTATGCCACCAGTAGTTGAGGATACAACACAGACCCAGGTAATGGGGAGGCAGCTGCTGTGCCAGGGTTGTGTTAAATGTCACCTGCGCACACTTCACAAACGTGGCCCATCTCAGAGACTCCCTCTTATTACTCTGTAAACGCTCCAACTTCACTGTCTTTTCTTTGATTGTGAACTCTTCACACGTGACAGCTTCTACAGCTAGGTTACTGGCGGTACATTTCTCTGAGACAGAGGCAGCATTACCGAGCAAGATGCTATAGCATGCTTTACGGAGGGGTCGGTACAAGTTGAAGGAGGAAGTGAGGGGCTCATGTTCGAGGGTAACCCCTTGTTCATACAGATAACTGGTCAGAATACCGCACACAAATGGTATGGAGTCACAACTGATCTGTTTTGTTACTGCATCTTCATATATCTGAAATGAGGGATTAAAAAACGTCATTATTAACACTTTATATAGATTTCGATCATTTCAATGGGAAAGTCTGTCATTTCGATTGTGAACAAATTTTCTAATTATTGGCAAATAGAATCGCAATTTACACACTAATAAAACCATAAACAGAATTCGAGAAAATTGTATCAATTTTGATAAAATATTATAAGATTTTATTAGTTTTAATGCTTGTATTATAGATGAAATTATTATTATAACATGGTGAGATGAAATTATGTGGTTGGAAAATGCTACCTGGCTGATGTTATAAGTAACTCGACTATCATCTGATGGCTGATTTGGTTTCCAAGCTTCATCGACGCAAGACAAATTATACCTACTGATAATGGCTTGGAGAAAGTCTGTTTTGGATTCGTCCGCCAGAGCAGTGCGGGCTAACATGTTATATTGTGTAGTTTGGGGGCGAACATACATGCAGATTCTTGGCATGATGTCAAGGACTAGATTGAGTCCCGAGAGCTGCATTCCTGACTGAAGTTTCCTGTGGAATGCGTGTAGCATCTCCCGAGGAATGAGAGAATTACCGAGGAGACATGATAATAGGGGCAGGTGGTGTTCTCTCAACCCAAGATTCTTTGTCAGTAAGAATCTGTCGATATAATCTATGGTGTGTTTCTCAGTGTCCAATGTGTTGAGTTTAAAGAGAGGTACGCCCTTCAGAGCTATGAACTCGTTATTATCGGAGATAATTCCTGTACAGTTCTTAACTTTAGCCCACGCTGCTACTTCAAACTCGAAATCACTGACCGAACATATCACCTCGACACGACATGCTTTCAGAATCTGAGCAACAACAAAATAGGCACACGGAGGGTTCTGATAAAAGTCTATAGCAGTAGGCAGCCTCTGATTGATAGACACAAAGTCGAGACCAGTTTTAATGTTTTTAAGATCAGTGGGAGTGAGCGCGTCTTCCCAGTGTGGCATGACAAACACTACATCACACCCCTCGCCCAACAAGCTGATAACAAACTTCTCGACAATGTCCTTTATCTCTTTCCACTGTCCTCCGAATATCCAGCTAGTCTGCCGAACAACTTTGGACACAAATGAAGATCCGTCAATGACATAACATGTTCCGGGTTTGGGGCAGACAGGGACTGTCTTCACGCACTGCTTGCATTTCACGCTGATGTATTCGTCTAGTCCATTTACCACCATTCATGTAGCTGGGAAATAGAAAATTTCAAGTTGAGTCATTGACATATCTATATTATATTTTAAACTTGACGAAATTTCCCCGGCAACGGGGACATAGAAGAAAAAACACCGAAAATCGACCTCAAAATGACCCTCTGGTGATGCCAAACCCAGCTCGCAAATGGAGTTGAAACCTCGCCATTTTTAGCAGGGTTGTAGAAAAAGGATAGGAATAGGCTATAGCATTCTTAGAATTTTGATTTAGGCTTTAGATTTTTTATAATTAACGTCGGAAGTGAGGTTAAATAATCGTTAGAATAATGGCGTTATTTAAGCAAAGGTTTACTGCGCTGTTGCGTAGCAACTAGGCTATCCATTATCGGTATGAAATCTTTTATCTAGATAAACAGATAAAAATTTAGGTTTTATCTAGATAAAACCGATAAAACCGATAATTTTTCTGCTGAAGGCCAAAGCCAAAATGTTTTCCAAATTTCACAAAAACTGATTGTCGACTTTTATTACTGTTTACCAGTAATCTTGCTAAAGTACAACTTCCTTTCTTTTGAAAATATTAGAGCATCAGTTTTCTTCTCCGGGGAACAATAGTGTACCAGTTCTCTTCAAAACAGTAAACCAACGGTTTGTCTTCTCCTAAGAACAGTAGTGTACCAGTTCTCTTCAAAACAGTAGATCACCGGTTTCCTTCTCCTAAAAACAGTAGTGTACCAGTTCTCTACAAAACAGTAGACCAAGGGTTTCCTTCTCCTGAGAACAGTAAGTAGTACCGCACTAGTTCTCTTCAAAACAGTAGACCAACGGTTTCCTTCTCCTGAGAACAGTAGTGCACCAGTTCTCTTCAAAACAGTAGACCAACGGTTTCCTTCTCCTGAGAACAGTAGTGCAACAAATACCAATTCTCCTCGAAACAGTAAAACATTTAAAGTGATTCAGTGAACCGTTTCCTTATTCTGTGGATAACTTGGAGCAACAGATTCCTTCTCCTGAAGACAATGTTTCACGCCTAGAACACTTACGGAATTTAATTGAGTGCCCTGCCGGTATTTTTGACTCTTGTTAACAGTAACATGCTCGTTCCTGTCTCCAGAATGGTTATAAGGTAGAACGCCAGCACCCTAGCCTCAAGATAACAATGTCAATAACTTTCTCTAGACTTCTACAGTTCTACAGTTCTACAGTTCTACAGTTCTACAGTTCCATAGGTATACAAATGTAAATAAACATTTGTGTAGCTCACATTTAAGTAAACTACCTCTTCTATCATACTATTAAAAAAAACATTAATATTTCTTTAAAATTTTACGGTATTGTGGCAGTTTTTTCGGTAATTTCTAGTGAATTTTTATACCGATAAAAATATGTTTTATCTAGATAAACAGATAACCCTTTTTAACGAATTATCGGAGATAATTATCGGTAACGATTATCGGAGTGGATAGCCTAGTAGCAACGTTAAAATGCACGTGCGCGAGCAACCACAGATTAACAACGCGCGTTGTTATGCTGTATGCTACGTCATAATTTCAAAACTAGCTCACATTTATGCTCACGCTATGACTTCTTATAACTTTGTTTGTGATTGGTATTTTTTGATGCGGTAAAAAGTATCGTTTTGGGAATCCGAATACTAACAACGCTGTCGCCATTGTTAGATAAATTCCATTATGTCTACAGTATAACAGAGCTATATGATGAAGAGAAATTAAAACATAACTGATTTTTAAAATTTCCTCGAACAAAGCTTTCGACTAGCGGGTTTCTTCGCTAGAGCTACACACAATGCTGACATTACGCCGCGCACACACAATCAACAAAAATATTGTTGTTTCCTAATTACGCAAATAACTTTGCGCAGTTAAACATCACGTGCCATTTTAAATGCCTGGCAATAATTCAATTGACTGTCATTCTCGATTGAAATATCTTCCAACGATTAACATATTTTACTCATCTGTTGTTGTTTTTCAATGCCCTTTCTTGGATCTAGACCTGCTAAACGGAGATCTCTGCACAATCGATTTGCTGTGAGAGTTAAAGATATGAAAAAGTTCAGACACCGTGACTCATTCAAATGTGTAATTCATATATTTTCAGTGAAGCAGGGTTCGGCAACTAAAGCATATTTGTTGGATTGTTTGACCATTGACTAGCGATGACCGATAAATTCGAACGATAAATTCGCTCCCTTATAGTGTCCTTTAATAAAATTTTCGACTACAGCGGATTTCAACGTGCGGTGTTATGCTGTATGCTACGTCAGAATTTCACAACTAGCTCACATTAACCCTCATGACGCTATATACCTATATATATTTATAACTTTGGTTGTGATTGAAATTTTTTGATGCGGTAAAAAGTATCGTTTTGGGGCTATATGATGAAGAGAAATTAAAACATAACTGATGTTTAAAATTTCCTCGAACAAAGCTTTCGACTAGCGGCGGGTTTCTAGTATAATATATATTATATCATAGTTATATATTATGGTACTTGGTGAAGTCATCTGAATATTTCAATCGATCAAGGTTATACATGAAATAGCATTTAACACTTTAAATCATGGCACGTCAAAGAGAACCAGATGTCAAGATGTCATAACTCTGAATTTCATCTCAAATTTGGGGAACTTTTCATTATATATGTTCCCTAGCCTAGTTGAACATTATTTTCACTGAAAATTTTAGGCATCTGACCAAGGAAGGAGAGTTTTAGAATAAAACATAATTGGGTCAGAAAATAATAAATTTGTAGATAATATTACGTAAAGTATAACAGCAATAACAAGTATTTGATATAAGAAAAATTATCATCTACTGTCATATTCTTATAATAATCATCATACTAACTATCAACTTTATATCACAGCTATTTACAATGATATCAAAGCAAACTAAGTAATCACATAATAAAATCAGATCGCAAATTAAAAGTAAAATTTTCATACAATTTAAAATTCATATATAACATAATAAGAACGATATGGACACGTTCATTTGAGTTTGAGGATATTGGTAAATATAAGTGACCCTATTAAAAGGCACAGTGTAGTTGACTTTGTCACACTATGAAATTACTTAAACCCTTGATGGTTAGGATAATCGTCTCATCCTCTAGGCTAACTTTGTCACATAAGGATATCTTAATCAGGTGATAAGATATCGCTTAAATACGGCCGGCACGGAGATGGTTACATTGTCACACTATAAACATGTGACGGAGTAAATATGGACCCCTTGCTGCCGTTTTTGACCAAATTTTTGAGTGTCCAGTTGATTGGATGGGTACATATGACCATTACCTACATATTTGACGACTTTTTTTCGTTAGATGGTGCATTCAGGTTTACTCTGTCACACATTAAAGAAAATATGTGATGAATGTTTAGGGCACCCTGATAAGCAATGCTGAGTAGTGTAAGTTTATTTGATGGCCTGGAAGTGCTGGGAATTGTTATTATATCATATAGTCGTAAGGAATTAAAACACAGAAGGCACAACCAAGCTTACTTTGTCACACAATCTTGATAATATCTGAACATGTGTGAAATTGAACAAATAATGATATACCAGCTTAAACCCCTTATATTATACGTACTATGGATCAAACAACACTGCTAGTACCATGCACCAGTCACATAAATCATTATCAGGTGGTAATATGTTAACAGTGTCACAATTAAACTACCGCTACATGGTCAAAAATAGGGTAATTTCGTCACAAAAAATTATTATAACTCTGTTAGCTCCTTGCTGGCAAATAACTAGTTTATCGAAATTTTTTTGATGATAAAGTTACATAGTATTCTAATAGAAGTATAGTTCTTCAAAATAGGGGCAAGACATGTTTACTTTGTCACATCAGTTATTATAAGAGTTAGGTAATCGTCATCAGATTTAAAGATATTTTTCGTAGTTTGGATCGATTAATACTTTAATATACCTGTAATAAATCCTATGCCAATTTTAACACACTATCTTGATACTGTTGGCCGTTGGGGCAGGGAAAGTTAATTTTGTCACATTTTCGATGTCTTTGACAAATTAATCTAAATTTTAAAAATTGAGTTCTTATGTTTTGGACAATATTCTTCCAATCGTTTCTGAAAGATTGTTGAATTCTAATAGAGTTATAGATCTTCAAAATATAAATAGGGGCAAGACATGTTTACTTTGTCACATCAGTTATTATAAGAGTTAGGTAATCGTCATCACATTAACATATATTTTTTGTAGTTTGGATTGATTTATATAGGTAATAAAGCAGCCTATGCTAATTTTTACACACTATCTTGAAATTGTTGGGGCATGAAGAGTTAATTTTGTCACATTTTTAGTGACTTTGACAAATTTAACCTAAAATTGTTAAACTTAAGCTCTGATGTTCTGGACAATATTCTAATAGAGGTATAGAATATAGATCTTCAAAATAGGGGCAAGACATGTTTACTTTGTCACATCAGTTATTATAAGAGTTATTATAAGAGACTATTTCATTCTATAATCATTGTTTTTAATCTATTTACGATTTCGTATAATATTTTGTGACAATGTAAACATCAACTGATCTTAACTTGCATCAACTACATTGTCATCATATAAAATTTTCCCGCCTTTCAAACCAAAATCAGATATAAATTATTCGCCCAAAATTTTAAATTTCATATATTGTGACAGAATTAACCTCATTTCCCAATAACCAAGTGCCTGTATTAGCTAACTATTCAAAACAACATATTTTAGGGCTATGCTTGGTAGAGCAACCATAAAATAATGAGTTGAAAGGGTTTTTAGGACACCTCACAGTAGAATAGAGGTATGGTATCATGAGTGTGACAAAGTTACCCAAATATTGCCTTGTAACCGTTCGATCCGTGCCCTTTAACCAATGTTGTATCATAATTGTTAGATTGACCTAATTTACTATATTTCAGACCAAGGAATGATAATTAGACAACTGCAGTTAACTAAGTCACACAAAATGTGACATTTGAAACATTATAGTGCCTAACAACAATAGATTTTCTTTCTGAGCGGTGCATATGGGAGTATGGGTTGCGTGGCTAATGTTCAGAACTTCTGAACGTGCTAGGTTAATAGATGTCAAAATTAAGCCACTATCGTCAAAAACGCTATTATTTTTGTTTACCAATATCCTCAAACTCAAATGAACGTGTCCATATAGTTTTCTAATTTTCTAATGCATCTTTAATCTTAATGCTGGGAAATGCTCGATCAAATAATTCTCATGCATTATTAAAAATTCTAAAAATTTTCATACTACTAAAATCATGCTCTGAACAATTATTCTACGTCATCGAGAATGAGAGTGAGTCAGAAAATTAAATATTTACATAAATTACACTTCTTATTTTAAAATTCTAAATTCTGTATTTTTTATTCTATGATCTATAGTTTGTACTTTGAAGTCACTTGTCAACTGGATATAGCATGTAACCTTCAATTATAGAAATTAACAATTCATCTTATAATCAACTTACTACTTATGAAATAATTTTTTATAATTCTAAAACCATTAACCAACCTATCGCCAGCTGTAAAAGAGCATTAGAGGCCCAAAATGAGCTGATCTATAACTGGAATCTATTAGTATCATATCATATGATCAGTAAAAATTAAGTTAAACTATCTGTCTATGAATACAATAATATTGAAATCTAAAATTATATGGAATAAGGGTTCGGCTTCGGTTGGTTTAAAAAACACAATGAAATTTGATCAGCAGTTTAGCTCCAAAACTGAGTACTGATCAACTGAGAAAACTAAAATTCACAGCACAATTAGGACCAGATGCAGTTATGAAAATGACAATCTAAGGCAGATACAAGCAGGGAGGAAAATTGGTGAAATTATCACAACGTTCGAAAAACTGTGGGTACACTTCACAATACTCACATAATTTCACTATGTCCTTTATTGATGGCCTGCTGTGCTGACAGGTTTAGGAGCCCTCTTTTCTTTGAACTGGTTTACAATTGTTTTGGAAAGTGCCAAAAACAAACAGATAGGTATGAAGACAAAGAAGAACTGGCATGCTCCAAACGAAGTGTCATAAGCCCGGTGATGGAAGTCTCCATAACCAACTGTAAGCATAGATACGATTTGGAAATAAAAAGCATCCCAGTACACCCAATTCCCTTTTCCATCATCAGCCCATCCAGGAACAAAGTCAGCCCCCTCAATACTCCACTTGTGTTCACGTCTTGCAGAGATGCCAGCACAAAGAAGCACCACCAGAGTGAGTAGAGCAAACAGTATCCCACTTACTGAATATAATGCCCAGCCGTCAGGGTTATCCTCATATGTTTTGATCCTGTCTGCAAGATTGTGCCTAAGTTTGGTGAACACTGTATCAATTATGTCCACCAAGGAGTAGAGAAAGAGCAAAATGATGGGAATTCCTGCTAGGAAATAGACTATCGTGAAGAATTTACCACCTGCGGAAACAGGAATCATGACTCCCCAGCCAGTAGTAGTGAGAACAGATATAACATAATCAACTGAACCTCCAAAATGCCACATGAAATCAAACACATTCCTCTTTGTGAGGCACTGCTGCTTTACAATAACCTCATATCTAGCAACGTCTGTTTTGTTACCAAGTAAAGCTTCATCAATGTCCTCATATCTCATTCTCAGATCCTTGAACTTTAAGGTATCTATATATCCCCTGTCCCACTCTCCTTCACCTATGGAGCTGTCTAAAATTTCCCAATTTCTTTCCGTGTATGTAAAAATCAGTGCAGCTATACACAGGCAGATAACAACCAAGCCAGTGGCCCAAACGACATCCTTGATCGCTCTGTAAGTAGGTCCTAAAAAGAAAGAAGCAAACTTGCTCTCATCTGCTGCTTGACCTTCACTGTTCAGGAGCTCCAAGTCATCTTCTGGGGTGAGCATTTTGCTGTAGAGGAAAATGAATTAAAAATCAACTTGAATTTTTTAGCACAATCACATTATCATTAAATCTAAAAATAGTGCACTCACAACAAGGTACATTGGCGCAAGCAATGGTACCATAACCTCTTGCAAAATTGGATTCAAATCTTGAAATTATAATATTGAGCTCACAGCTCTACCTATGGAAATCAGAATACAGTGATGATCTTTGATGTAGGACTGCTGGAGTCTGGTCAAAGTTAATTGCTGGGATTGCTACAAGATTCAGAGAAATATTAGAAATAAATTAGCTAAAACCTGCAAAAAGGCTAATGTAATCGATGATCTACAAGTTAAAAGTGCCAAGAATGATCTTAAAGGGATATGGAAAACTATCAAACTGGCATCAAATATGACCCCTGGTACAAATAATTGTCAAACTATCAATGAGAATGATCCTGAGCTATTTAACTTTCATTTTGCAAATGTTGGATCAAGATTACAAAATCAGGCCCCCAATATTGAAAGAGTTAGTTTTACTGATTTTTTACCTCCTAGAACTTCTAACATCTCATTTGATAGATTCCAAGAAATAAATGAAACTGATATCCTAATGTATGTCGAAACGCCCAAGAATGACAAGGCCTCATATGACGATGTGCCTCTATTTTTACTTAAGCAAGCTGTACCATACATAGTTGAGCCACTTACCCATATTGTCAATTTGAGCCTTAATACAGGTGTTGTACCAACCCTTTGTAAAAAAGCTAGAGTAACTCCCATCCATAAGGCAGGAATGAAAGATGATCCTAATAATTACAGGCCAATATCCATCCTTCCACTTGTAGGAAAACTTATAGAATACTTTGTCGGCAAGCAACTCACTGATTACATGGAAGAGAACAAACTTTTCATCCGGCATCAATATGGCTTTCGGAAAAATCACTCCACAACTTATTTGATGTACGATCTGATGGACGAAATATATATGAGTAAATCTAAGTCTTATAAACCAGGAATCATCTTTCTTGATCTTAAGAAGGCCTTTGACACAGTGAATCATGAAATATTGCTTCAAAAATTGGCATATTATGGAATTGGTGGCATTGCTTTAACCTGGTTTAAGAACTTCTTATCTTGTAGATATCAATGCACTAGGATCAATGGCAAACTAAGCTCATTTTTAGAAGTTCTGAGTGGTGTACCACAAGGAAGCATCATTGGGCCTATATTATTTAGTATCTTCATAAATGACATCATTTATGCCTGCAACCTATCTAAGCCCTTTCTATTTGCAGATGATGGTGCACTATTCTTTGATCAAACCTGCAGAAGCACATTTATAAACATGAAAATAGAACTTATGACAATCTTTAAATGGCTGTTAAATGTTAATAAATTATCACTCAATGAAAAGAAGACTGAATTCCTATTGCAATTGTTTGATTCTGTTGATCAGCATGATGAATTAACCATTGAATGTAATGAGGTAACTTTCACAATCAAGGAGTGCAAAGAGACAAAATATCTTGGCCTCATTCTAGATAGTAAATTAAACTTCAAAAGCCATGTAGATTATATTATTAGGAAGGTCATGAAAAGAATTGGTGCCATGTATAGAAGTAAAGCACTGCTACCCATTAAATATAGGAAAATGTTTGCCAATGCACTCATGTTGCCACAATTCGATTATTTAGACACGATCTATTGTAGAGCTGGCAAGACAAAACTTGCTGAACTTGACACTCTGTACAAAAAGGTAGCCAAAATAGCTCTCAACGTTCCACAAACAGAGAGCAGCCTTAATGTTTATAGAGACATGAAATGGTTACCACTCCATCTTAGACGACAACTCCATCTGTCAAATTATATGTTTAGAATCATCCATGACAATTGTCCTACAAACTTTATGAACAAATTTAGTTACATATCAGGAGGTAGTAGGAGCGGCGAAAGCTGCAACCTATATGTTAATAGATCAACATCACATAAAAACTTTCAATACTTGGGGGCAAAATGTTGGAATAATGTTCCAACAGATCTACGAAATCTGCCCGATGTTAAAAGCTTTAGTGATTCGTATAAGAAACAGCTACTCTCATCTATAACAACAGACCCTAATTATACCGTTGACAATTCATGTGACAAATTTTACACTGCAATCATAGTCGACGATAACTAAGTATCTTCTAATTCTTTTAAGTCTGAGGCATATATAATTGATGTATCGAAAGGATATTCCCTTTTTTACCACCTTACCATTCTGATTGATTTTTCACATGCCTGACATGTTTTAACTGGGAAGGGGTTCTCACAGTGGTAGTTTTATAAACCACTTTTAATTTATTGACCTATTATACCTAGTGGTAGTTTTATAGACCACATTTAATTTATTAACTTATTATACTTAGTATTAATTTTTGGTGACTGTATCACCCAGTTTTAACATTTGATAATTGTACAGTTTATTGACGACACATTGACTTAATGTTATTTTATATTCTAATCTATATTCTAGATATTTTATTTATTTTTCAACAGACGACAACTTCCTGTTTTTTCTTCTATATTAGTTACTCATATCTCTTGTACAGACTGTTTTACAAGGACATTGACAGATGAAACTCACATTAGGCATTCATTATTGCATCTAAATTATTTCACTTGCATTAGGTTTAGAAATTTATTCTCTGGTTAACAGATTTCAAATGTTTAATTAATTTGTAGTATGACAGTAAGGTATATAAGAAGTTATTTAATTTTGCTTGGGCTATTATATTGACTATTGAGGTTTAATGATGATATGGAATTTGAATTCTACTGTACTTCATTACAGTATTAAGATAATATAAAGCAAATCATGTGAATATATGACTACGAAATAGATCTATAGATTTGTCCATAATATTTAATACCGTATTGATGGTTTTGAATTTTGTATATTGAATTTTAATGTGAAGCGTTTACTCTTCCCCCTCGGCAATTAATTAGACAGTTAGATTAATGACAATAACAAATAATTGCCAAATGACGTAGTAGATATAGATGTTCAATGTTGTAGAGTGATTTCAAGAGTAGTGGTCCACAGGGGTCCGAAAAAGCCGTACAGGCACTTGGGTCCTTATCCTTGTCACTAGTCCCAATTGGATTCACTTTACACAAAACATGAACGTTTACAATTTAGACGTACACATTGGCACGATATTTATTAGAAAGCAAACAGTATAAAATAATACGTGCGTGCGCGGCTTGAGCCGCGCCGCATAACAATTGATGCGTTTAGGGGCTGGAGTACGCGTGTTTACAGATTAATGAATTGTTGCATTATAAATATTTAAAGTTGAAGATATATTATGATCTTATAGGGGGGGGTGACATGTCTCCAATGTCTCCAATGTCTTTTGTCTTTTTTGAAAAGATAGGGTGCAGAGACATGTCCTGGAGACATTGGAGACATTGGAGACACAGCTTTTGGAGACATTGGAGACATTGGAGACATTGGGGACATAAGAGACATTGGAGACAAAGCTTTTGGAGGATGACCCAGGAGGAGGACTCAGGAGGAGAAGGAGGAGGATGAGGACTCAGGAGGAGGACTCAAGAAGAGGACTGAGGAGGACTAAGAAGGAGGAGGACTGAGGAGTACTGAGGAGGATGGCTGAGGAGGATGGCTGAGGAGGATGGCTGAGGAGGATGGCTGAGGAGGATGACTGAGGAGGAGGACATAGGAGGAGGAGGACCCAAGAGGAGGAGGACCCAGGAGGAGGACTCAGGAGGAGGAGGAGGAGGAGGACTCAGGAAGAGGACTGAGGAGGACAGAGAAGGAGGAAAACTGAGGAGTACTGAGGAGGATGGCTGAGGAGGATGACTGAGGAGGATGACTGATAGGGAGGAGGAGAAGAAGGACTGAGGAGAAGGAGAAGGAGGAAGACCTAGGAGGATGAGGACCCAGGAGGAGGACTCAGGAGGAAGAGGAGGAGGAGGACTCAGGAGGACTGAAAAGGAAGAGGACTGAGGAGAACTGAGGAGGAGGAGGACTGAATAGGAGGAGGAGGAGGGGGACTGGGGGAGGACTGAGGATGAAGAAGACTGACGAGAAGGATGAGGAGGAGGACTGAGGAGGAGGACTGAGGAAGAGGACTGAGGAGGACAGAGAAGGAGGAGGACTGAGGAGTACTGAGGAGGATGGCTGAATAGGATGACTGAGGAGGATGACTGAGAGGGAGGAGGAGGAGAAGAAGGACTGAGGAGAAGGAGAAGGAGGAGGACCTAGGAGGATGAGGACCCAGGAGGAGGACTCAGGAGGAAGAGGAGGAGAAGGACTCAGGAGGACTGAAAAGGAAGAGGACTGAGGAGAACTGAGGAGGAGGAGGACTGAATAGGAGGAGGAGGAGGAGGGGGACTGGGGAGGACTGAGGATGAAGAAAACTGACGAGAAGGATGAGGAGGAGGACTGAGGACTGAGGAGGATGAAGAGGAGGAAGACCCAGGAGGAGGAGGACTGAGGAGGAGGATGAGGACTGAGGAGGACTGAGGAGGATGGCTGAGGAGAATGGCTGAGGAGGATGACTGAGAGGGAGGAGGAGGAGGAAGAGGACTGAGGAGGAGGAGTAGGACTGAGGAGGAGATTGAGGAGGACCTAGGAGGAGGAGGACCCAGAAGGAGGACTCAGGAGGAGGAGGAGAACTCAGGAAGAGGACTGAGGAAGACTGAGAAGGAGGAGGACTGAGGAGTACTGAAGAGGATGACTGAGGAGGAGGAGCAGGATGAGAAGGACTGAGGAGGAGAAGGAGAAGGTGGAGGAACTAGGAGGAGGATGAACCAGGAGGAGGACTCAGGAGGAAGAGGAGGAGGACTCAGGAGGAGGACTTAGGAGGAATGAGAAGGAGGAGGACTGAATAGGAAGAGGAGGAGGAAGACTGAATAGGAGGAGGAGGAAAGGGACTGGGGAGGACTGAGGAGGAGGAGGACTGACGAGAAGGATGAGGAGGAGGACTGAGGACTGAGGAGGAAGAGGAGGA